AGAGAAAGGAAACCCCCCCCCCCAATTTTCAAAATTTCCCTTAAAAAAGGGGAGGGGGTGACATATTTGGGTTTTTTTTTTTTTTTTTTTTTTTTAGCTTAAAGAAAGTAGGTTTACCAAGTGCAGGCATCTAACTTGACAGCTGATATTGAAAGATGCAGGACCTTGGAAGGCAACAAAGCATGTACCTGAGGCACACCTGCATCCAAATCCCAGCTCTACCACTCACAGGGACCTGCAGCTTAACCTCTGTGAGCTTAATTTGCATCTCTAAAATGGGGGTCTGACGAATAAATGAGGCAAGCACTTGGTGCAGCTTTGACACTCACTAAACAAGTATGTTATTTTTATTTTTATATTACTCAATTAAAGCTTTTTGAGTAGTAAAAGTGCCCCTGACTGTGTGGTAGGCATTTCCTTTATTGTACTGAATTCTAAGAAGCTCATAAAATTAATATTATTGTCATATTTACAGACAAGGAAAGTAGGGCCGAGAAGGTTCGGGAACTTGCCTGAAATCTCACAGTAGTCAGGTCATTGGCTTCCAAAGGGGGACCCTTGCCCAGTGCTTTCACTCCCTAACCCTGGTGTCCTCTCAGGCCTTATTTTTTCCTGGTCCCCTGCCAACCTTGCCACCAGGTGGCCTTCTAAGTCCTTGGTGGAAAGGCCCATCTCATTCAGCTTTCAGATGCTTTAGAGACCACCCTACCTTAGTAAAATAAAAATATCTTCTTTGAACAGGTTAAATGACCCAGAATTCCCTGCCGGGAGTCCCTCCACTCACCCTTACCCCAGTTCCCATGTTAGGTCTGAGGGATGTGCCAGTTCATGTTGGAGTAACTGGGCTGGGTTATCTCACCCAGTAAGACTCCAGTGAATGGCCCCTACCTCTTGAGCTTTTGGTGCCTTCTTTTTAGAACTCATCACCTCATGGGGAAGTGGCCTTAGCTGTCAGAGACCCCTATATAAACATACCTTAGTCAGACAATAACCATTCTTTCTATATAGCAGAATCAGTGAACATTGAGAAATGAGTTTGTTTTTCACAGTCTTCACAAAAAGAATAAAGCCAGCCTGACTTTTTTTTTTTTTTTTAATGTAACCTTCAGTGCAGTTCTGCCTTGTGCCAGCATGATGCCAGACATTTAACATCTATTACCCACCTTCATCTGCACAGAAGTGGGCTGTGGCCCTGCTTTACAACAGCTGAGCCATGTGGTTTATGTTCTATTTGCCTTTCCAGCCTTACCTTCCACTGCTCATCCATGGACCCAGCTGCATGGCTCTGTCTTCAGTGACCCTAGCACGTCTTTCACAAGCCTCCTTGTCTCTTGCCTTCTCTTCCACCTGATTTCCACTTTGCTAAGTTATTCTCCCTTCCTGCCCAGTGCAAGCCCCCTCTCCTCTTTGAAGCCCTCTCTGACCACCCCACTGCTGTAACCTTTTCCTCCTCTGAGCCTCAGTCAATCTTCACTCAATATAAGCTTCTAATATTGACATTTTTTTAAAGTGTGTTCTTTTACCAATTAGTATGTCTGTCCCTTTAAGTTAGAAATTGGATCTTATTTCAGATGAGGGAAGAGCAGTGCTTCCATTACTAAGACAAAGTACATTTTTCCTCCACAGAATTTTTTTTCATTTCTATACTGCTTCATTTTTTTTTTTTTTTTTTTTAAAAGATGACCGGTAAGGGAATCTTAACCCTTGACTTGGTGATGTCTGTACCACGCTTAGCCAGTGAGCGAACCGGCCATCCGTATATGGGATCCGAACCCGGGGCCTTGGTGTTATCAGCACCACACTCTCCCGAGTGAGCCACAGGCCGGCCCATATACTGCTTCATTTTTTAAAATTGTTTTCATACTTACTTTTACATATTAATTAAAGAACATTGGGTAAAGTTGATCTATACTGCTAAATTGATGATAAATGTGACATTTCAAAAACTGGCGAGTGGGGCCGGCCCAGTGGTGCACTCGGTAGAGTACGGCGCTTGGGAGCATGGCGGCGCTCCCGCCGAGGGTTCAGATCCCATATAGAGACCGGTCAGCTCACTGGTTGAGCGCGGTGCGAGCGGATCCCATATAGAGACCGGTCAGCTCACTGGTTGAGCGCGGTGCGGGCGCGACACTGAGGGTTGAGATCCCGTTACCGGTCACGAAAAAAGACAAAAAGGAAAAAAAAAAAAAAAAAAACTGGCGAGTGGTGAACTATTTAATAAATGACGTTGGAACATTTGGCTCATCTAAGGTAAAATAGACTCAAAAGTAAATTCCAGCAGATTAATACCTAAATGTGACAGGACAGTACACACCAAATTTATGGGAGGGGTTGCCCCTGAGGAGGAATGAAACTTGAAGGTGGTATCAAAGAAAATTTTAGCTTTATCTATGATTTTATTTCTTTAAGAGAATGTTATAAAAATAACAATATGTCAACATACCCTGTAGTAGGAATGGGGGTGTTTATTGCACTATACTTTGTATTTCTTTGAATTTTTTAAGTTTATGAAAATAAAAATAGTAGAAGCAAATACAAGAGAATATTTTATAATCTTAGAATGATGAAAGCCCTCCTTAAAAAAAAAAGTCAGAAAAGAAAATACTGATACAGATTTAACTACATAAAAATTTTAAAAGACAGATGGGAACTGGCTGGTTAGCTCAGTTGGTTAGAGCACAGTGTTATAATACCAAGGTCAAGGGTTTGAATCCCTGTACCAGCCAGCCACCAAAACAAAGGACAGATGGGAGAAAATATTTACAATATATATATAACGGATACAATATACTATATAAAGAAATCTCATATCTATACATAATTTCCAAGGAAAAAGTGAATAACAAATATGAATAAGTCATTCACAAAAGAAATACAAATATCCAAAAAACTGAAAGAAGAAGAAAACTTGATTAATAAAATTATTTTTTAATGTATCAGATTGGCAAAATTAAAAAGGCTGATGAAATTCAATTTTGGTAAAGGAAGACACAGGCACACATATATTCTTGGCACAAACTTGAGAGCAATTTGGCACAACTGCACATGTTCATTGACTCAGAAACTCCACTTTTGAAAATCTACCCCACAGAAATACCATAACAAGTCTGCAAAGATATATGTATGCGGCTAAACATTTTTGGAAACAAAGTCTGTCTACTGGGGTGGGAGGTTTGTTTGTTTCATACACACAGTGGAACACTAACTACACAGTCATCAAAAAGAATGAGGTAGACTGTATATATTCCTGTGGAAAAAAATAAGTGAGATGTTAAATGAAAAAAGCAAATTGCTGAGCAATACATGTAGTGTGGTCACATATCTCTGAATAAATTTGTCATAAAGAACCACAGCAAACTCTTTATAGTTATCAAATTTATTCCTCCTTTTAAAGGAAAGAGGGGCTGGCCGGTTAACTCAGTTGGTGGGAGCGTGGTGTTGATAACACCAAGGTCAGGGGTTCAGATCCCCATACTAGCCAGCTGCCAAAAATAAATAAATAAAATGAAAAGGAAAGAAAATTTCTACTTAATTATATCCCTTTCACATCAAAATATCAATTAAATAAAATGGAGAGGAAAGCTACCTATGGTCCTACCACCCAGAGGCTAGAATTTTTACTTATTTTCTTCCAGTCTATTTTTTTCAACTGTAGGATTTGTTCTCTTTTTTCAGACAATTATGATCAGATCCCAAATACAGTTTTGTAGCCCAGCTTTTTTCACATGCAAACATCATTCATAGTATCTGTTTAGTATTTTGTACCATACTTAATTTATTATGTTCTTATAGTTAGAGGCCTTACTCCTTAAAAACCTATGAATTTAAGGGGCCGTTTTTTGTCTTTTTCCGTGTCCGGCAACGGATTGCAACCCTCAGTGTCGCCCCCGCACTGGGCCGGGACCGGCAACGGGACCGCAACCCTTGGTGTTGCCCCTGCACCTCGCTCAGCCAGCGAGCGGGAACCGGTCTGCACGTGGGATCCGAACCCTCGGGCGGGAGCGCCGCCACGCTTCCCAAGCAGCG